ATATATATATATATATATATATATAATTTATTGATTAAGATTAAAACAAAGAATAATTAAAATGTATTCATGAATTTGATATGTTTCGTTATATATTAGCTTCATCAGAAATTTTAGGAGTGGAATGATGAAGTAAATAACAAACACATCAAATTTTTTAAAGATTTCTTTAATCGATAATTCTGTTGGATTTAATCTATATTTTCAGCAGTTCCATACAATCTATTGGACAAGTTCACTTTCTCTGAAGTTCCAATTAAAGCATGAAACTGAGAGTCTTATGAAGGATTTTAACGATTATCAAATTTTTGTTCATCATTTAAAGCCAAACTATATTTCGAATTGTTGTAGGAGGTTATTTACAATATCTGCTATTCCAAAACGGTAACCCATCTAAGTATTGACAGGACTCGACGCTCCTTAACTTCGACGAGCGAACGAGAACCGGTGCTTTTAAAGTGATTTCACTGTAGGATGCTTTGAGTGAAGGTCGTAAATGCATATATTTACGATCTTCACTCAAATCATAGTCTAATTTTAAGTGATACGGAATATTCTGCTGACGACAGTTCCCCAGTGCAATGTTTCGAATATTTTGTTAATTTTCTTGTCTGTATTTTTCTTTGTTTATGCCTCAAGTTTACACATATTATGCGTATCAAGAAAAAGGAAGACACTAATTTGCCGGACCCGTTAAGATAGACAAAGATGCTTTTAAGCTTACTTTACCGATCTCGGTAAAATAGGTTCCCTGTCTATTTTGTCGGTAAATGTTTTTATCATTAGGAAGGTAATGTTAAAAATAACACATATATTTAACATAGATGTTTATTTATTTTCAACATCAACTGTTAAAACAATATAAAATCTTTTCCACCATCAATTGTTACGACACAAATTAATATCATCTATTCATCATCAATTGTTAAAATAAATATAGAAGGCTCTGAACATTTTAAGCACTCCAGGCATAACAGTCTCTTGAAATCCCAAACATGCCCTTGGGCATGGTTCTCCTTCCAATAAACTTCAGGTGCACCCACTGAAGACAATAGTCATATCACAGAATCCATGTTTTTCAAGTCCTGACTATCGAGTTCATACAATCACCATATTCTTAATTGTAATTCACTATTTATATTTACCAAAATAGCCTTGGTTCCAGATTTACCTGGACCGGGAAAAAAGCCTTGGCGTCTATTTTACCGGTACCAAAAATAGCCTTTTCTTAAAAAAGCTATTAAAATGCTACAGTCCTTTTATTCATTCGCCATTATTATTATTATTATTATTATTATTATTATTATTATTATTATTGTTGTTGTTACACAGAGCAAGTTTTCTGTGATGTCTTGCGTTATTCATTCATGGAGATGAGTCCATTCCTTCGGCACAGTTTGATCTCATTAACATGGAGAACGATTTTCTGAAATTTGTGTATCTTGGTGTTACCATAGATCTTGTTGGTGGATTATTATTATTATTATTATCATTATTATTATTATTATTATTATTATTATTGGTCTCTGGTATATACTCATTTCTTTCCGGGTCTCGACCAAAGATCTAAGGTCAGAAATGACATCTGACATTTTCCACTGAGCAGTTTTGAAAAGAAAATATTCTAAAATCACACATATTTTACAGAGATAAAGCCCTTCATAAGGTGTGGGCTGTACTTTTGAGTAGTATTTTTTTGTATTTCTTTTTTTAAGGGATTCCTTCAGTGAGTATATTGAATCTTTTCTAATCAATCCAAGGACTCCAGCTAGAGCTGGAATTAATAATGTTCTCATGCACCACATCTTGAGGTTTCAATTTCAAGGGCCATGTATTTTGATAATTTTTTGAAAATCTTCAAAGATATATTGCAGTCAGCAGAGACTGGCATGTCAATAAAGGAGAACATTTTAACTTTGTGGTTTCTAATCACGTTGTCCGGGGAATTAGCTTTGTGTCTTCTGCCTGTGCCTATTGTAAATCCCATAGACTTGTTACAGGTCCTATCTCCGTAACCACGTGTGGGTGGTGTTTATACCAATGTCTTGTACTTTCTTTTCCGTAAGTGTTGCAGATATTGGCCCATTCAACCATGCTGGGTAAAAATACCACGAAAGCTGATACAAGATGCTCAATTGTTTCTGGATATTTATCACAGAATCCACATTTGGGACTAACACAATTTTTCAGTATGTATGTTTTGCAATTTCTACTTAGCAAACATTGATCGTATATAAAGCCGTCGGTTTTAGTTTTAACCCTGTATTACGTAGCCATTGAGGAGTACAGTTGTTATTATTATTATTATCATCATCATCATCATTCGATTTCTGCTATGGACACACTACCTACCAAGTCTGCGGAAAGACCTAAGGCAGGTCGTGGTGTGTTGTTATGGCCACATTTCATGTTAATTTTTTTTTTTTTTTTTTATCTCCGATGAAGTTGCTAGCGTTACATAGACAAAGTTCTCCTTAGTGTGTGTGCTGTACTTAATAAG